TGGCTGTGTGGTGAATGGTAAGTTTATTGCAGAGTCTGGAACTTTGTTGTAGGTGACAATGGCAGATGAGACTGCAACCTGTTTTGCAAGGGCATCCGCTTTTTTGTTGCCTTCAATCCCTGAATGTCTGCAGACCCAGGAGAGCGTCACGTAGTCACCTTGACTTCTATAGATCTTTTTACTGATGGACCTTGATAGAGAGCAACCTTGATTATTTAAGTGTTTAATGGTGGTCTAGCTATTGGTGCATATCCTAATGTGTTGTTTACTGATTTTCATTTTCTTAATAGTTTGGCTTGAGTAATGGTGCAGAAACTTGCCAGATGATAGTTAGCATAGTAGAGATATTTGTTTGTGTTGCAGTTTCTAAGGAGGAAGGAAGATCCTATCTTTGTACCACACATTGAATAGTTTGTGAAGATTTGTAGAGAGGGATTAGCCCCTTGTAGAAGTTCAGTTTAGGAATGTCACTCCTAATGCTGGGTGCAGTGGTAAAAAATCTTTATCTTTTCTTTGGCCAGTTTTGAGTTGTAAGAAGTTGTAATCAAGGTTTGGGAGAATTCCATCTACCAGAACACCAGCGATGACTTTCCCTGTTTAGAACACAGAGACAATAAATTTGTTTGTTTAGAGGGCCAACAAGGCAAAAATGCAAGTCAGTGGTACAGAGGTGAGACCAATAAACAAGTCATTCTACCAGAACATTGGCAATAACTTCTCGTTTACAATGCTTTCCTTTTTCTTTGATATGAAGAAAAAGAAAGCAATACTGAAAAATTTTCCAAAAATGTTTTCTTAATTAAAATTCATGTTTTATTTATATTGTGTTGTGTCAATTTCTATACTACTAATGAATTAGCAGTCACATAAGCTGAGAATTTTATTGAATGCACATTAAAATTTTTTTTATCCAATAAACTTAGCTTCCCCAAGATTCTGATGATTCTAATGAAATTATATGCATTTGCCAGCATGAGTGTGTTGGCAGTGAACTTCCATAACTTGATTTAGCAGATGATATCATAGCAATTTTCAGATTAATTAATTTTTGGGTTTTAAAATATTCAGAATTTAATATGTACATAAAATCTTAATTAAATAAAAATAAATCACTTACTCAAATTATCATTGGTAGAGATTGGATTGAACATAGCTTATGATTTACCTTTTAATTGTTGTACAACTCCTATGTTTTATACAGAGCTGTGGAATTGTGTAAAAATCTACTGACTCCAACATTGCTGTACCATCTGACTCCAACTCTGACTAGGAGTGGACTTGTTATCAAAATAGGCCTGAAAATTTTGATGTCATCATACGAGCTCAGACTAAAAGATTCAATAAATAGAGTTCTAATAAAGATAGAATGTAGAAACATTTTTATTCCAAAGTTAAAAGACTTCTCTAAGTAATGACACAGTCAATATATAAATATGTATTCGGTAATTTTTACTTTCCTGGCTGTTATATGTAACAGAGCGATCGGTTAAAAATTGACCCCTCTCAAATTTTTACATTTTTGGATTCAGGACACCTTGAAATGTTGAGATATACAAAAGATTCAGTTCTTGTTTCTGTATGTATGGATATTAGACTGTGTGTAGGGCATGATTTTGTTTACCCTGTTTGAAGCCTAATAACTTTAGTGGTTTTTAAATTCGAGTTGGATGGTTTAACACAGGAGTTATCAAGCTTCAAAGTGATTGAACTAAATCATACCCCCATACACATTCTAACATCGCAGGCAAGAACATCTTAATGGGTTCTATTGTACTATTATAAAATGACAAAAAGCTTAATTTTGAGGATAGAGACAAGTTTTATAAAAAGAAACTTTGTGAATGATAATTATGAGTAAAATATTCATTAAGTCCAATCACACTGGAGATATGACACATGATTCCTTCTATGTCTCCATCCTGTTAATGCTATTAAATTTTGGTTCTTTAATAAAGAGCCAAAATTTAATGGCATTAATACCCCTTTATACACAAGTTACTACACCAAATTTCGTTTCTTAATTAAACTTTATCCATGCTGAGATATTATTTAATATCTCAGAACAGAGAATAAAGAAATTAATCAAATTAGACGCCAGTACACACACACACAAAGTTTCCCCTTTTATTTGACATTTTTTGGGGTTCAGGAGTTTACAAACGTGTAGATTTGCAAAAAACTCAGAGAATCAAATTTGACATGATTCCAATACTTTTTTGTTTTATATACATAACAAGTTGGAAAGTAAAAAGGAGTCAGAGTTGATGGATTTTTCATGACTCCGACTCCACAGCCCTGGTTTTACAGTATGTATCTAGAAACAGATGACACAAAAAGTAATTCCAAATTAAAACTGTTGCTATGGAAACTACCACTGTAACTAACTATTTCAGACATTTAAAGCCAATAATCTGGAGCAGCATTTCTCAAAATTTTTGCTTACATAAACCAATATATTTGTTTGTAATGGTTTCATGACCCAAATGTTTATAATACAATGGAACTCTGATATAGTGAATAGGCAAGGGACTGCTAGTTTTAGTTCATTGTATCCAAAGTTCATTATAACTGTGTATCAAACGAATGATTAAAATGCATTGAAAAATGCAATAATTCACTCAATATTCAGTAGAACTGCATTTATGAACACTTTTGTTGTCCTTTATGATTATCTAATTTTGTACAACTTTGAAAAAATTTCTAATTGACTTTTGTTTGTAATTCTTATTGATATTTTCATTTAGCACTTTCTCCAATTGACAAACATAATCTGATTCTTCTTGAAGTTTAGCAAGTCCTCATGTTTGTATTATTTCCAGTGCCTTCTTGGCCTCTTCAGTACTAGGAATAGGCACAATTACTTTATACTCACCATTTTTTTTTCTTCCTCCTCTTCATCATCCTCCATTTTTTCTCCACAATCACAGATCACAAAATTTCTTCATCTGTAAGGATTCCTTCTGTAGCAAGATCATTGTCAAAGCTGTAAATGCAACTGAATACAAAAGGAGTCTTCATTCTTTTGTATTCAGTTGCATTTACAGCTTTGACAATGGTTATGGTTTGGTACAGCTTTGACAATGGTCTAGGTTAATGAGGAATGTGTCAAATTTAAATAAATTTATGTTTATTAGTTTTTGTAACAAGAGGGTGTGCAACTGTAGTTCATAAGTGTTAAAAACTGTCTTGCTCTACCTCAATTGTTTAGTGCATTTTCAGGTCATTAACAGAGTGACCTGTTAACACAGAATATGAGTCATTGGCTAAGTTAATGTCAGTAAGCAATATAGTACTGTACTTTCTAATATAGTAAACAACGAATGTTTTCTAGGAAAAGGAGCAGCACGTAGCTTATTGGGTGTTTTAGAGTTCACTTGAAGCAGTTCACTGTAATCAAAGTCTCTCAAATAGAGGTTCAAAATAATTTGGTTCAATGTAACTGAATTTCCACATAATCATTCAGTTCAATAAAACCAAGGTTACATTATATCCAAGTTCTTTGTATGCAAATTCCTCTGTATAAAATTTTTTTTAAAAATCTGGTAAACTGGACTCACTGTATATTATATAATAAAATAAAATTATACATTATTGATAATAACTTCTATGTATGAAATGTAACATTGAATTCTATTAAGAGCAGTGCAGGCCAATTTTGACTTGTAACAAATAACTTAATAAAAACTGAAATTGAAATTTAACTATTAAAAAATATAAGACACAATTGTAAAGTTTCAAAATTATCAGGAGTCTATTTTACTTTGAAAAATATTACAACTTTTTTTTTTATAAACTTAATGAACCCTTTTTTTAAAATGTACTTTTCAGATTGTAAGATTTTATCAATTTCATTTTGTATATACATAAAAAAAATTATTTATTGATCCACTTGTGCCAAAATTCATCCATTATTTATAATTTATTATTTTGTATGACAATAAACCTAAAAAGTTTGAATAAACAAGAAAATATTTTCAAAACCATTTTAACTTAAATAGCTTTATAACTAAGACCTTACATAAAATGATTTTCTGTTTTGATGATGTTAAAAATAGAAAACAATTTCATATACACACATTCTATATTCTTAATTTTATTACCAAATGACAATAATAATTATAAGGGGAAAAAAAATGTTAAAAAATTTTCAGCACTTAAAAGATGCATCTATTGATCAAAGTTCTTAGAGAATATTTCAGTAATACAAGTATTTTTGCAAAAGTGGCATCATTTTGCTATTCATTAAATTTTTAACACAACCCAATATTGGTTCATGACCTGTAGTTTGAGAAACACTGATTTAGAGCAATAACTTGCTAGAAAAACTTAATACAGTATACAAAAGGATGAACTTGATTTGCAAAAGTTTGAATTTGAAGTGAAAAACCCTGTAGTGGCAATTGATATAAAAAAATTAGTCTTGGTTAACCAAGTAATCAGGTAACCAGTTAGCTAAGAACATACAAATCAAATAATTGTTTTTTAAATTTTTTTTTTTTTTTTTTCAAGTGTCCTATTTATCAATATTTCAAGTTCAAATGGAAATCATCTCATTTAAGTACAATAGAAAACTGAAATTTACAATATATAAAGAATTCATCACTTAAAAATGAAATTTAATTAATTTATAAGCACTTATACTTAGTAAACAATTAATTACTAAGTACCAATCAGAAATGAAAGAATGTAAATAAAATATCAGAAATTGATTTTACAAAATCAGAAATTCATCACTTAAATTTCATTTTTAAGTGATGATTTCTTTATATATTGTTATTTTCTAAAAATCATAGGCAATCAAATTTTGAATAAAGATTTCTTATATTGAAACATAAATAATTGATCTAAAATAATATATAAATTTAATAATATTTTATATAAATGTTAAGATATAAGTATTATTTTGATAAATGTTATGATACCTCAATTTAAAAATTAACATGGTTAGATATACAAACCCTCATTATGCCTAAATCATGATTTAAACTGCAAAAAAATCATAGTTTAAATTCTGATTTAGATCCAGTCTGTTTTAATGGTAGTATGTGAGAGCAATATAATCATATAATTATCTAACTGAGTTTGATACTCAATTTTGATAAAGTGTAATTTATAGATTGTTAAATTTTTATGTAAACAGAGTTTACACATTCTATGGATGTGTTACTTGGTGAAACCTTATGAATACTCAATATATTCACAGAGTAAGTCTGAAAAGAATTGTCTTTTTCTTGCATAAGTTATCATGAAAGTGTATATTGCAGCAAGGAAACAAGTAAAATACTTAAGAAATTGAAGTTACAGGTTATTCTGCACTCTTCTTACAACTCAGATGGCTTAGTCATAACTATTTCAGTAATACTAAAATATTGGCAGAACTATCAAGATCTTGTATGGGGGACTGGGTTAGAAAGAGTTTCTTTTGCCATTTTATTTTTTCAACAAATGAAATAAACAGAATATTTCTTAATAAAAAGCAGTAATCCTTAAAATTGCATCATCCTATAAAAAAAAGACTCAGTGTTCAGAATTTTCAGTGTACCTGTGTTTGGAGTCTCCAAATGCTAGACATGCCTGCAAAATGCAGATACTCATATTACACACAACTGTCAAAGTTTGAGAAATTCTACATCATTGGGCTGAGGGAAGTAGTATGACCTTCCACTGAATTTATCACTATCTGGGTCATTCTGACCTGACTTCAGAGTGGATGTCAAGAGCAGTGCACACATATATGATAGGCAGGCTCTGGACACCTCAGACTACCAGAAGAGATGGTTGTCTGATTGTGAGACAAACACAAACAGCTGCAACAGTGTCTTTATCTACTATCCAGAAACAGGTGGAAGAATTGCTGTAGAACCCTGTCTTTTCCCTTCCCATTGACACATGACTAGCAGAGGTAAATTTGCATGCACAGCAACCATTATAGATCCTGCCATTAGCAATCTAACATCAACTTTGCAATGAATCATGATAGAGAAGTATAAACTGCTACAAAATGGCAGTGTATTGTCTTTACTGTGATGAATCCTGGTTCCGTTTAGTAATGGACTACCACTATGTTAGTATAGAGGACCAACCACTAGTGAGTGCTTCAATCCCACTTTACTGTTGAGTAACATACTGCCCTGCTGTTGCTATGCTGGTTCGGGGAACCATCTCATATGACTTTAGTCATGCTGAATGGTATTGCAAGAGACATTGATGGCAGGGCAGTACATTCAAAAAATCCTTTCATGGGATGGCTGCAAATAGCCATTTCAGCAAAATAGTGCTCAGCCTTACAGCTAGGGTTTTCCAGGAATGTCTCAGTCACATTGTCACATTTCTTCAGACTTCCTAGTATCCAGATTTGTTGCTCATCAAGCATTTATGGGTTCCCAACTTTGAACACATAAGAATGTGAGAGATCTGGAGTAGCATTTGCAATATCTGTGGGAAAATCTGTTGCAAGATAATAGTATACGATTCACAGTATCCAGGCCAGAGGAAGTTGTTCACAATATTAAAGGTTCCTTTAAATTACACTATTGTTCAGTAGGAAATTGTCTCTTTGCTATGATATTGTAATCACTTATTACCATCGTTATTATGTTTCCACTAATAAAGTTTCATTTGATTTCAACACACTTGCTTAGTGACAGAGTTGATAAAACACAGAACACTGGTAGTTGGTCTCGGGTTCGTGCTTCTCTAGTGGAGATAACGTGGCGTTTTCCGGGTTTTCTTCACGTTTCCAACACCTAAATGGGCCAGATAGTCATAAAAGTTCACGGAAACACCTCTTCCTTGGCAGATCGCCCATGTTTTGCGTTAATTTATCCCATCAATCCAATCATCTCCGATTCCACCGCCTCTTTTGTGCCTAACTCTTTTGTCAATGAGAGTAAATCATTTTACTCGTCTAGTTCAGTTTTGACATTGAGTTTATTTCTCTTTGAACATTTATTTAATAGATTAAATATATTTCAAATAAAATTATATTTGTTCACTTTCATATACGTAACAATTAATTAGTTTTGAATACAAACAATAGCCTAATTCATCTATGAATAGTGCTATTACATCAGAATAATTTCGATTTCGTACAAAATGTAATCTCACATAAAATTAAATAACGTTTTTATGTTCTTTTTAACTAAACGTGAGAAAATTTGGATATTTAATTAACATATTAATAAAAAAAATTTAAGTTAAGGAAACAAAACTTTCATCGTATTACTTTAAGAACCATATCAAGTCTATAAGTATAGTAATTGAAAAACTTTGTTTTGTTAAGAAACGTTAGATGGCAGCACTATACATATTCGCGATTTTACTGCTCATTCCTTTGCTTAAGTCCTTTGATTACTGAAGAGAAAAGCCAACTTCAGGTTTTTTTTTTATACTGGAGGAGATAATTTTGTCGCCTTGATTTTTACCCATATGCTTATTTTAAATCCATCGTTACATCATAAAATAGTTGATAAATGTCACCATCGTTTTCTAATTGAATTCACAAAATATTTATCACTGATGCATCATAATTCCATCAATATTTTCAATTTTTTTATTTTTAAATTAACATGATGATGAACGTTTTCTGCAACTAGTTCTATTTTATTCTCGGTTCGATCACTTAGAGGAACCGTTTGTTCTTGTTAATGTCTTCAAGGTGGATTTTATCTACAGATGATCTACACTTGCTTTGACCATCAAAAGCAATGCTGCAGCCTGCTTCTGGTGGAATTACTTTGTCAGCGCTTTCGTTTTACCCTAGATTACCCTAAATTGAGTAAACTCCGAGCTCGAGCTCGATTCTATGATGCAGATCCCTGTGCTATTATCGTGAAATAATAATCAGAACAATTCTTAATTCATTGTTTTTAAAAAACTTAATAACTAAAATGTCTTAGGATTTTTAGGTTTTATCAGAAGTATTAATTTACATCAGATATGGAGATAATTCATCTCAATTTGACAAACGAGAAAAATCTCACTTGGTCTTTAAATAATCATAAAATATATGCATAAGTCTGATGAATGCAATTATTTAAACTTAATTTTAATTAATTCACTTTCAACATGTGTATCTTAGCTGAAAATAGAAAATTAAATAAGCCATTCGCTTGATTTCAAACATACTTTAATACGTAAATGATCAGTTTTAAAAATTCATTTATTTACATATATACAGTACTTGCGTTTTAACATTCGTTTTGAAGGTTCAAATGAAACCACCAATATGCTTTATTTCTTTAGCTTCTGTTGTCCTATCTTAAAACTATTCACTTATAGGGACAACCAGACCGGTTTTAGGCTAAAACTTTTTCCGGCAAAACTTGTGACGCGATGGGTAATAGACATAAGATCACAGGGCACTTTTACCCTAGATTTACCCTAAAATATAAGACTACCCTAAACATTACCCTGAGAGGTTGAAATTACCCTAGAAAAGGGTAATTACTTTAGAAACAGCAGCACTGATCAAAAGAATGAAAACGGATTAAAAATTATTACAAATTATTTTGAAACTAATTTTCTTCTAAATCTTGTAAATGCCTTTGTTTAATACCTCATACTTAATTCGAAAGTGCTCTTCATATTATAGGCTTACGACTGCTTTCTCTCGAATTAGTAAATATACAAATTTAAAAAAGTCTTACAGATTTTAATCTTAAAAATCGATTATTTTGAGATTGAGTCATCTATTTAATTAATTGAATAAGGTTTAATTTTTTTTAATTATCACATTTTAATATTAAGTAACCCAATTCTTTCATTTTAGATATTTCTCTGATGGCAAAAATAATCTTCAGATTTTCCGTTTGTGATGTAACATCTTTATTATACCCTAGTGATTTTTATTTTTGTAATTTGTAAAGTAATTGTTTCAAATTTTAACAAAAAATTTATTTAAAATAAAGTAAATAAATACTTTTATTTATTGAAATATATTAAGGTTTTGCTTGTAAAACTATTACAAATGTAAATACCAATTTATGATATTATGTTTTCTTATAATTTAATTATTATAATGGAATTTTTTTTGTATCATAAGGTTAAGAAATTTAAATGTTGTGTGGTACCATCTGTGTTCTCACAATATTATTATTATTTTAAGATGATAAAATTTATTTCAAAAGCTTTATTTCCGATTGCGTTTTTGTAGAGGACTTATGTCTTCATTTTATCCAAAAAAAAGAAAAAAAAATTGCTGCAAACCAGTGGACGAGTGGGATAACACCAGTGAACACTGGTAGAGTCGTGGGTTCGCGCCTCGCCAACGGCTGGCCACGTGGTTTTAGAGTTGTCTTCACATTTGTAACACCTAAATAGGGCCCAGATCCCTTAGAAAATACTCTCGGGAGTCATTTTCATCTCGGCAGATCGCCACGTGACGTGTTGTCATAATCACATAAAACAAACGTAAAAAAATTACCGATTACATAAAAAAAATGCAATATATAAAATGAATCTTATTTTAATTTTTGTGTTATTACATTATTTTACAAATAGTTATTTATATAGAAATTATTTTCAAATTGTACAATTCATCTTTATCTAATGACTGTGAACTAATAGTTAGACAGATATGATAATATTTTTGCTTGTAATAAAAATCATCAGATATAGCTTATTTTAAATAATTTGTACTGTAAATTTATTTTATTATACAAGTATATTTCAAAATATCTTTTTTATAAGTTTGTTTAATATTTTTTCTAGAATAAAATGTCTCTTTTTGGAATTTTAAGAAGATTGACCGTTTCTGTTAAACCACATTTAATGAATATGAAAAATGGTAAGCTTTACGTTTATTTCAAATTAAGAAATTGGTTAAGAGTTAAACAAATTGATAGGATTTTAATAATCATAAGTATTTTCACTTGAAACTAAACTTTAATTCAAATTTGATATGCAATAGTTAATCCCTTTTTAAATTATTCGAATGACAAGAGTTTTTGGTACGCTCATTAATTGATGAATGTAGTATTGTATACAGTACTACATACAATCAGCGAAACAATTTGGATTTCTCTATCTGTTATTTATTTTATGAAAGATATTTCTTTATTGCATTATTTATCAAATGAAGCTCATTCATTATACAAAATTATGTTTTACCTTTCAAAGTTTTGTCTTTGTTTCCTGTTTGAGCTGAATGAATATAAATAATAATGATTCGATATATATTTTATTCAACTTGCTCAACTTTTACAGTTAAAAATATAAGAAGACTAAAAATTTTCATGGAAAACTAATGCATGTTTCAACATAAATAACCCATGTAATCCATTTATTCTCTTGTTCTTGGAATATCCCAAGAGAAATCGAGTATAAAATGGATGAAGTTATTTGTCGATTTTTTTATAGATGAACATGTCCTAGTAATAATCCATTGTTATTTATAATTAATGGAGAAATCGTATATTTGCAGATTGCTATCTAACACAGGAATCATTTAGAGAAAGAGCTATCGTTTAACGGTGTATATATAAACATTGTTATGACGTATTTATTGTTGTAAGAAAGATACATTTATCAAAAAATTAACACAATTTTAATTTTTAATAGTCGTAATAATTATATATTCAATTTTTAAAATTAATTGTTACTTAAAATAATCGCGTAGTACTGGCAATATTATGGAATAGATTTTTTTACCCCGAGGAACAAATAAACGTAAAATTTTTTCTACCGTATTATTGATTTTTCCGGTCACGATGGCGTGTCGATCTAATTAATTACGTACGCGCTCTTGAATTTTCGTAACGCATTTCTCTTTTCTGTGCTGCCGTTAATTAGTGTCGCGAGCGAGGACAATGGAGTCATAACAACACACAACAAAGAATGCCACAACGCTTATTTATTAAACATGATAGAATTGCGTCTAGATTGCGTGCAACTGACTTTTGTGACTGCAGTCCGGTGCGAGGTCGGAATCATCTGCGATCATTCCCACGCACTTTTGGCTTTCCCTTTCCAGGAAGTTAATCGTTAACTTATGAAGGGACCTTTTGCTAACTGTAATATGGAATCTGTAATCATTTTATGGAATTTTATTAGAGTCATTAATTTTCTTTTCGAATGATTTACACCTTTGCTGCTTTCTTGTTTACTGTTTAATAGAATTTTAATCGTTATAGGATGTAAATAGACTTTTATATCCACATTTTAAAATTTAAAGTTTAATTTATGTCGACATGTTTTAAGTCTGTAGAGTACATTTTAGTTTTTTGAATAAAATAAATGTAAAAATTTATTCTTTAATGTTAGTAATATTAATATATATAATTAATAAAACCACTCGATAATTACTTCAAATATCTAACCTAAATGGCAGAAAATGGTCGCCTATCTGCCTACATCTGCCAAGTTACTTAATATTATTTAACCTTAATAGCCCTAAAAGGAATCGGGCTGTTCGTTTGATATTTGAGGTATTAATAATAATAAGTTACTTTTAATGCGAAATTCAAAATATCAATAAAGGGAACTTACATCACTCTCTTGGGATATTCTAGAAAATTACAAAACGTTCGATCAAATGAAAATATATAGCATAAAGCAAATAGTTTAAACGCATCGTATAGTCTGACTACATACTGTAAGTCGAATTATTTAAAAAAGAAAAAAAAAAACGAAAACTTTCAGTTGTAGAACTAGAAACAAAAATTCTTTTTGGGTATAGAGATGAAAATAATTTTAACGTAATGATAAAGTTCTTATATTCAAATTTTATAAATTATTCGTGTATTTTATTACGATACATTAGCGATACGAAAAATATCTAAGTTATTATTAAGTCAATTATTAACTTATACAGTATAGATAGAATACGTTAATAATTAACAATATAATAAATAATTAACTTTTTAATCTGATTTTTTTTGTACTAAATCTCATCTGCAACAATATATTCGAGTTTATAAATTGTGAAATAAAATCTACTTCGAATCCTTTGAATAAACGGGGAATTGGATAAATTTGAGTGTGACCACGAGATAAACCTTTAAATTAAAGATTAGATAATATTAAACTAGAATCAAATGAAAATAATTAAAATAAGGTTATTAAAATGGTTTGGAAAAACTAAGGAATAAAAATGTTGGATGATTCCATTTTTGTGATCTGTTCCAGTGTGGATGCTAAGTTATTTATTTTATAACTTTAATCATATGTTTTGAAACTAGAGTTGTCCGAGAATTGAAGTAAACTTTAATAAAATGGCCGAATCCTTTTGAACTCAATTTGACACTAGGTTTTTCTAGTAGAAATACGATCCGTGTCACACATTATCATACAGAAAATATGATAATTACGATTTTTTTAATGGAATTATTTAGAACTGGTGTTTTCAAATCGATTATTTCAGTCTAGGAAATGTATCACGTCTGAAGACGACGACGCCAAGTTTAGATTAATATCGCTTATAGTTGCCTAGATAATGGCTATAAAAATGAATTGCATTTCCTCCATGCAAAGTCCGAAATCGAATTACGTTCATGTATATTTTAAAAGTTTATGTAGGCCTATTTTTATTTCATAAATAAAAAAATTTCGATAACTTCTTTATTTTCGATTATTTTGCTTAATTATTTTAAATATTAAGAAAGTTTTAATTTATAGTTTACAAAAACCTGATATGAGTAGTTGATTCTAAAATTGAATAACCGTAAATAAAAATATATATGTTTTTTTTTGCGGTCTATTATACATTTAAAAAATATCTTCTAGATACAAATATATATATTTGTAATTATCTATATGTCTATAATTTAGTCAAGCTCTTTGCGTTTAGTACCAAAAACAATGTAGACGACGGATGTAAATGGTTCGTTACTGTTATTTATAAAATATCGGACATTTGCAATTATCAAATGTATCGAGATGTGTGAAGCGTTAAACGAGCGTGCAAGGAGTGTGTGGATTGGCGGTTGGTCGAGAATGAAAGACCAATGACGAGCCGGTGATTGTTAACCGCATCAATATTTCAGAAGGTGACCTGGCTCTTGTATTATTCAAGCGTTCTCTTTGGTCTCCCGGCCAATTGCTTGTTTTTTTAGTCAAAAGGGGCGTTAGATAACTATCGTTAGATGATTTCGTTTTTTATATTCCGTTTCCTCGTTTGAAAGAGATAATAATATAAATTCATTTTAGTACTGTAATAAAAATACAAATTAAAATGAAGTTATTTTATTGTTTAAGGTCACTCAGAATGATAAACTTTTTAGCTACTATTGAAAATAAAATTTATAACTGCTTTTCGTTTTATCCTATTTTTAAAATGTTTAATACATAAATATGATTATTAAAAGAAGTAAAAGTATTAATTTCAGAATTTTGAAATATTGATATATATTTTATAACTGATCTGTAATTGTTAAATAACTTATACAATTAATCGGTTATACAAGTTTTGTATATTTATTACTTAATTAAATCTTTAAAATGTTTAAATACTCGATATTAATATTTAGAATTAAATAGAGCATTATTCTCTATTTAATTTTGGATATTATCATTAGCATGTTTAGTTTATAAATGTTTAAGTATGTAACATTATTTACATATATATATTGATATTAATATCCTGTTATAATTCTTATATGGTGTAAGCCGATTTATAATTATAATAGTATATTCATTTCTTTCAGAATATATCCGCGTGTTTCTATTTAAAATGTGATTACATTTTGTTAAATTTTCAAAAAATAGCTAACGATATTAAAAGGGCTGCCTAATTTTCTAAATTTATTTCTTGAAATTTTTGTTTTACACTTTTTATATTGGACTATTGGTGTTTTTGCGCATAATTATTACTGTTGAATTTAATTTTGTGATAATTCTCACGAAAATTATCCCTATAAATATCGATTTATATATTACGTGTCGGCATGGGGCAATTTTATCAATCATTATCGGTTTATTTAGGCTAACGTTTATATACATGTAAATTTTATCGATTTTTATATTTTCTTGTGTTTGAATCAATTTCATTTTTAAGAATTATTTCTAAACTCTAGAAATAATTCTTAAAAATGAAATTGATTTTTAAAAGTTATTTTTATAATTAGAATGTACTTAGGCTTTTATCGTATATTTAATAATAAATAGCGACAGATTTGACTTTTATACATTTTTTTGGTACAGTACATTGGTTTTAGAAAAAAACAAATGTTTTATTATATTTTAACGTTGCCAAACAACATAATATAAAGTATTAATCTTTTTTATAGAAATTTTAGAGGTAGAAAATTATACAGTATTATTGACGTTAATACATAAGTAATGTTTGGCTAACGGTTACATAGGAATTGCATTATCCATACAGTTATTAAAATCATTTAAGACGGGTGGAGAAATATTTTTAAAATTTGATCTATAATTTCAATACTTATTTTAAGATTTTAGTAAGATATATTTTTCTTTTTAGAATAATTTAATAATTCCACATTTTCATAAAAAAATTAAGTTGTTTTATTAATTATTTTATGTTCTCGTAAAAATCACGAAAAACCTAATTTTTTCCCTTCTTTTTTTTATAGGAATTCATTCTCATTTTTCGACTCTACAACAACCACGATATTCTATCATAGAGAAATCTATAAATTTATTTTCGCCTCCTCGCTTGCCTCCTATAAGTCCAGTTAATAAACTATTTGATCAACAGATCCGCACGAAGTTAACATTGCAAGACATACACGATAGAGGACCGAAAATTAAGAAAATTAGGAAAAAAAGGCCTCTGGATGGCCGACCTCAGATGAAAGGAGTGGTGGTGAGATTGGTCATTAAAAAACCTAAGAAACCGAATTCTGCAAACAGGAAGTGCGTTCTGGTCCGTCTGTCTAATAAAAAAGAAATGCTAGCTTATATACCCGGAGAAGGACACAATTTACAAGAGCACAGTGTAGTATTAGTACGCTGCGGTCGTCTACAAGATGTTCCGGGAGTAAAACTTAAAGTTGTGAGAGGAAAATATGATTGTTCGCACGTTGTTAAAGTCACAAAAAATTAATTGCTCGTACGACATATAAAGTTTAATATAACGTTATGGGAACCAATCGAACGTTTGTAGCGTAAAGAACATTACGTTTTATAAACGACAATATGGCTTTTATAGATCGTGACGCCGATCACGTGAATTCACTCTCGGCTACAAGACATTTACATTATTATTCGGATTCTGTTTACGTTGTGAGCGGTTCTATCGCTTACGTCAGTTCCGTTAAAAGCCTTCACTGACAAATAAAGTGATTTTTTCCCCTCCTGTCGATCGATTACTGGCTTTGTCGTTACATCAGAGTCTGATTGAAATTTTTGTTTGGTATCTGATTTAATCTTTCCTTTTTCAAATATTTAGAATGTTTCCGAAAGGAATTTATTTTCAGCTGGAAAACAACTTAAATAAATTGAATTTTTGAAACTAAAATAGAACGTATGTATATTGCATTTAGAATTACGAAACATGATACATTAACTTGTGTTGCTATTAAGGCGACACTTCTTTTATGATTTATTTTGTTTATGAAAAATCGATGAATAATGTTGGGTAAATATCGAATCGTTGTAACATCGTATTTGAAAATCGTAAATCTCTTTTATTCCTAGTAGCGAAATGAAGAATGGGTTGTTATATACGAAAAGGACAGCCAATTCTCTAAGCGAATTTCACCGTGTTTATAAGAAAAAAAAAATTTGAATTTTACTCGAATATATCAATACGAAAGGCTTTACGATTTTATATTTTATTAAACATTTAAAATTATCCGAAGTTATATTCTTTTTAAAATACACGATTAACCATGGTTTATAAGACAATTTGAATTTTATCATATCATAAAAATTGTATTTTACTTTTTAAATTAATTCCTGGAATTATAAATCAAATATTTTTAAATTATATAGGCTACTAGTCGCAAGTAACTCTAGATCTATTTTTAGTACTGAGATTTGGTTACAATCAATAAACCCACTGGGGAACTAATAATTTCTAATAGATTCGTTGTAATTTCAATTATAGTACTATATTTAATTTATTTTGTTAAGACTTATTTTCCTAATATAAAATATGAGAATATGTCTATAATTTGTGTGAATGAAATAATTATTCCTTCAATTATTGCGCATTTTAGAGGAAAAAAGACTCAAAGCTTGAAGACACTTTGGCCTCACTCAGGACTAGAAGTAAAATGATCGATATGATTCCCGATATTCCCTGTCGACAAATGTGTCGTAATGAACTTAACAATATTGTTGTAATTTGAGCAATTTCGATCCAATTAATCTACAGTACGACTTAGCCGTGTGTTTATAAACTAATCATATTAAACCAATGAATGCAATTTATATTATAATTAACCAAAAAACTATTTATTTGAGTAAAAGTGCTTTTAATTAGAAATTTCTATAATTTTTTTAACTAATTTCATTTTTACTTATACAATTTATAATAAAAATAGTACAGTACATGCTATTATTGTAACCATAAATATTAAGATATTAAAAGTTGAAACAGGAATAAGAAGTAATATATTGTATTTGATATTCCTCTCAGATTTTAATAGTATTTGCATATTAGCAAAATATATATTTTCAAAAATATATTCTATAACCTATTGAGGAACACCAAATGAAAAGATTAACGTGAAGATTAGATTAGTCTAATGATTATATATTTAATTTCCGTGTCTTTTAGATGAGAATGTCAAAATTCTAACTCGAATAACTTTCACGAAATTTCTGTGCACAACGCCATAAAAATAACGATATATTCTGAGAAAATATTGTTTCCAGTTTATGTATTAAAAAAAATTTGTCGACTAGCTCTATTATCCTCTAAATTAACTTATGTTAATAATTCCTTTAACATTAGTAGATGAAATGAGTGGAAATGATGATTATCGCAGAGTAAATATTCAACATGCGCTATCAAAATTTCTATTTTATTGTTTATTTAACATTTTTTTTTTATAATTTAACACGCAATTCAATTTGAATATATTTGACTGTATTGAACAAATTAGATGCGGACCGAGTTGGAATTTTTCCTTTTAATCATTCATAATAGCCAGATTTACATTCTTTAGACGACAAATCCAAAAATTATAATGATATAATGTAGATTTTGATGCAAATACTATACAAGATTCATTTGTAGGCTGTTACGTTAAGTTATAATAAAATATACAAATAAAAAAGTTTCAAACAATTTATGTTGTAAGCCATGTATCAAGCAACTACAAACGATATAAATAATAGTTATAATTGATTGATTTTAATTACGGTTCTTAGATTGATTGCTGGATATTTCATATACAGAGCTATCGGGGAAAAATTGCTAATAATATGTATAGGCTAACTTATTCTTTATATACAGAAGAAAATTTACTGTAAATTTCTAAATTTTAATTACTTCAATCAATTGGCAGCGAACAATGAAAAAGATATCCAAGACAATCTGTCTTGGATATTTCTTTTTCAATGTTAAGTTATGTTTCAAGATAATAGACTGGTGTTCTGTGGGCCCGGGTCGCCTTAGATATTTTCATGAGCGAGTTGACCCGGATATATTTAATAATGAGATGAAAAAGCTTAGTGCCTACAGAACAGACAACTTACAACTTACAAACAAAACTATAAAAATATTCGAGACAATATCATGATAATGATAGTCATACGAGTATATAAAATTATACGATAATCTTTCTCTAATATATTATTTGACAACAAATATTGTTTAAATCAGTGTTTTTCAACCTCTAACGAATCGTCGCCCCTTCAATAAAACCATTACGTACTATCGCCCCCTTCATTTCAAAATTCCGATGCCGAGGGCCAAGGCTAACGCCAAATTCATACATACTGCATTGAATAGACTAGTGACTAATATAATGTTATTTGTTTAATTATTGTACGATATAACAAATAAAATATCTAATTATTCTTAATATAATGTTTTACTACTGTATATCGCCCAGAAAATTGTTTTTCGCCCCCAAAATATAAATTGTTACTAATCGCCCCCTCAACATGGAAAAACGCCCACATGGGGGCGATATTGCCCCCGTTGAGAAACACTGGTCTAAACGATAATTCCCTGTTGAAAGACAAAACAGAAGCCGAATCGTAACAATGAAACTGTCAGAAGAAAAATATTTAAATATACTATATAATAATGTTATGAATTATATAGACAAGCATGATTTTTCTCCTCATTACTAAACTAATTTCTTTTTATAGAAATTTTAGAGGTAGAAAATTATACAGTGGTGCCTCGTACTTCGAATTTAATTCATTCCAGGATTAAATTCATTCCGAATCGTTCGAAGTTCGAAGAAATTTTTCTCATTACAAATAATGGAAAGAAAATTCATTTATTCCCATACCGTAAACAATACCCATTTCGATAAACTTAAAATACACATAATTTAAGGTAAAATAACAGTTTAATTTCCTAATAATAAAAACACGAAAACAATAAATAAAATACGTAAATAATATAAAATGAAAGTCGAATTAAGCATCTTAGACATGGCCGCCAGATAGGTAGATTACCGCTTTCATGATTCGCAATAACTTCCATTTTCAGGCCTTCCTGTTAATAGTTAGACTTCATTGCTTCCACACACTTCTCGGATTCCATGATTAATAAAGTAAAGGTTATATTAGGTTGAACAGAAAGTTTTTACGTGTTTTTAAAGCTGTCGTTACTTAACAAATGTGTAGATGTATGATTTAATTATAACATTTGTGAATTTTAACACATTATTGTAAATTTGAGATTATATTTTTTGTTCAGAAGCTTATTTTACTCTTCAACTAGCCTACATTTTTCATTTCGCACGCATTCGAACTTTGAAGCGTAGTTCGAACTCCGAAGCGTTTGTTGAAGCGCTTAATAAGGAAATTCTCTCGATTAGCAATCGAGAGAGTTTCCTTATTAAGCGTTATTCAACAAATTCGTCTTTCAAAAATATAAAAAAAAAAGAATCGTAAATAAGTTACCCGATCTATAAGATAATATTTAACTGAAAAAATTAATTTAAATTAATAATAGATAACTTAAATAAAATGAAAAAACAAATATTTAATAAAAACAGAAAAATGTAATTTATCATAGTTTGATTAAAAGTGAATATCTTCAACAACAGTCTACATATTTAAATAGGATATATCGAATAAGAGTAAGTTTAGTAAGCAGAAGAATAGAAAAATAAAACAATCGCTTCGATCAAAACAAGAAGTATGGAAATTTTCTTTAAAAATATAAGTGATCGTTAAATACAAATCGCTCTGAATTAAGAGTGCTAATATTATCTAAGCATTTGAAGACCGTGCAAGAGAGGAAGTTCATTAATTTATTAATGATTGAAAATGCTTTACATCGAAACGTATCTGTAATCCTTATCGAAGTTCGTACTATTTATTACAAAAATATTAATGCATTTGTAAAATAAACTTTATTTTTTTGTAAATTTGATTTCATTCCAGCAAGTAAAAATCTTATTACAGTATAAAGGTGGCATTGCTTTGAGATTTAACTAGCTACAATAAAAACGGTTGGCCTAAAGCTATTCGTAGTTAATCGATATAATGAAGATCAAAAAACAAAAAAATTATTCAAAACTTTCTAAAGTGTAATTTTTGTTACAGAAATTGCTTTTAGCCCTAGGTATAATTAAATTAATTAAAATATCTATAACCGTGAGGCAGATAATATTGGTTTGACAAGCCCTTACTATTATCTGCCTCATGGTTATAGATATTTTAATTAATTTAATATAATTTTTGTATTAAATATATTTATTCGAATTCCTTCACTAAATTTGATTTCACCTTTAAGTTAAATATAGCCTACACAGAAATATTTCTTAATAGATCTTTTTATTTTTGAATACACAGATATGATGTAGCCTATATAATTTTGTTAGTGGATTAAATAAATCGATTCTGTTGATTTTATAAAACTGCATACATTGATTCATAATAGCACATTGTAGTCTATGCTATCTACAAATACTGGATAAGGTAATATAAAATTGACTCTTTTAACATATTTATAAACAAAGTGAATATTATTACATCTATTGTAAATTTAAAATTAAAATTCCATGTATTGAACAAATATCCATAAATTATATTTGTTTCCGTATAAAATAGATTTCTTATATTTCAACTTTAAACGATACTGAAATTTCTTCCGCTATTTTCCAACAGTTTGTTTTACACAATACATTTTAAAACTTAAATAATTTATTGTGTTACAATATAATATGGCAGTCATGTATACGGAATAAATAAGAAAAATGTTCGTAAATATTCATTGAAGATACAGAATAATTGCAAATCAGTATAAGAAACGTATAAACTCTATTTATAACTGAACTAATTCTGTAGCTGAAGTACTTTAGAAAGTGTCCGACGTGGAAATAGAATCGTTCGGTCGTCACGACGACGATGGGGGGAAGAAAAGGTGAGCGTGCAAGTACTTTGCGTGGCCACGAGGTTACCCGTAAGGCCGCTATTCTGCCAGCGTAACGCTCACGCAAACCCTTCGTATAGAAGCGATTACGGATCGACGTTTGACTCCGTGCGTTATCTCGCACGCGTCGAAACTCGCTAATCGCCATCGCCTAAGACCGGCGAAGACCGCCCACCCGTCAGTCGACCAATCCGATGACGACGATGGCGTGCGATATCTCGTTCCACTTTTTCTTGGCAGAGATTGCTTGATATCATTTAGTATTGCTATCCGCGTAATGGATTTGAAATCTATACATAAAAAAAAGGGTCCTTTCTAGTAACTTATGATAGACGTATGTGTGCAAGAAAGATTTAAATGCCCTAACGACATAATTTGTTCCCATCCAGGAACTTTTTTTTTTGGAATTGAAGTCGTGCGTGTTTCGGCTTAAGTGGTTAGTTGTAATTGAAGTTAAAAGCCATCTAACAATACCTTTAACGTAGCTAACATTGTACACTCGCACGATAACTACTTTGTATAATTTCGGGGATCAAAAGACACATTCTGACTAGACGAAACGAACAGGAACAAGTAATATAGATCTTAAAGAAAATATCCTTATAACAGTTAATAAAATCATAGAAATAGAAACTCAATGGTCATTTTTCGACGTTGGAAGTTAAATATTGGTAAGATCCGAAGAGGGAATGGAATTATTTAATGAGTAATCGGTCGCAGATGGCTATTATATGCATTCACTCTCTACTTACACAGATATTATCCTTCCCGATATTCGATTGACGTCCCTCCGGTGGGATTGGCACGCGTTCCTATTGTCTGTACCAAGAGGAAGAGTCCATTTACTTACCCTCGGTCTCCCGGGAAGACAATATTTACTTCGACTACCCTCTCGTCGTTTCGCATATTTCCGTTAACCCTTTGCAGCCCATTGGTCGGTAAGGTTGAGTCATTCTTTCTCTCCAATATTTCCGCAACTCGAACACCCAAATTTAG